GCCCGAGGCGGGGGCGGGGCGCTCAGGGGTCTCTAAGAGCCCCGCAGCCCCTCTGCCCGGGATCTGGCCCTTGGGAAGGGAGAACTAGGGGCGACTCAGCGCCCCGCCCCTTAGCACAGTGACCATGGCCTGATTTCTAGCCCACGTGGCTGGGGAGTTGTCCCCAGGGCCACCGCCAGGTGTCCAAACCCGCAGCCCCAGGGCGGCACTTGCACCCTGACCCAGGCATAGCAGTCAAGGACTCAGGCTCCGCAGCTTGGTTCATATCCTGCCCTGGCCCTGAGTAGCTGGGTCACCTTGGGCAAGTCACTTCCTTTCTGTGCTCTTCCACCTAGCCTCCGAGTGGGATAGGGCTCTTGGGAGGACCTAGGGCCAGAAAGGGCAAACAGCACCGAGCCCCAAGCCAGCCACAAGGTGATCCCACAGACCCCGCAGCCAGTACCATTCAGCAGAAGGCTGGGTCTGTGTCTCCACCTCCTTGCTGGTTGCCTGGCACACCACAGGCACTGCCAGTGTGTTGAACTGCAAAGTCACACAAACCCCCACAACCCAGCAGCATCCTTGCAGGGCCGCCATCACAATCCCAGTCACCCTGATGTTTACTACCTCCCTCGGCCCCCCGGGGTTTTGAGCCCACCCCTGCCAGCATTCACACAGTTAACGCCTTCCACCCCCAGCACGGACAGCTGTGGTGGCCCTGCCTTCAGCAGTCACACGGTCAGTCACAGAGTCACACGCACCCCCGCCAAGCCCAGCACCCACCACGGGACCCACAGGCTCACTGCATCGCCTGGCTCCTGGCTGTAGGACACCTTTATCTGGTCCCCTTGCACGGTCTCCGTCAGCTGTCCTTGGCACCCAGACATCCCTTTGGGGTGCCAGCCCGCTCCTCACGCCTCCGTCGCAGAGACAGGCACACCCGCTGTCTCTTCATGAGCCATCTTCTTGGACCTGAGCGGGGGGGGGGGGGGGCCTGGGGGGTGCAGAAGACAGAGGACTTTGCCAGGCAGGCCTCTTTACAAACAGCCACAAGTACCCACCCTCTACCCAGGACCGCCTAGGCAGCATGGCACCGTGGCCGGGAGGCAGGCCGGGGGCAGGTCACCTTGGTTCAAATCCTGGTGTGGCCACTTGAGCTGGTCAGGTGTCTCTGGGAAGCTTAACCCCTCCGTACCTCGGTTTCCTCCCCTATAAACTAGAAATAAATCTGGAATTGGAGGGAGAGAAGGATTTCAAGGAGGCCTGAGAAAATTTTAGGGGTGATGGGGATGTTTGTCAGCCTTGCTGGGAATGATGAGTTCACAGGTATATACCTCTATCAAAATGGATCTATGCATTTTATTGTACCTCAGTGCAGTTGTAGAATTCTTAACTACCTCCTAAAGTGGTCTGGAGGCTCAGATGAGATAGTCCATCTGGAAGGACTGAGCATGATGCCTGGCACACGGAGTGCATCATCCCTTCAACACAGAATTTGAGTGTTCCCCGGTGGCCAGGCACTATTCCAGGTTCTGGGGAGACAGCACAAGGCTGATACACGCTCCTGCCCTGGAGGAGCCCCTATCCAGAAGGACAGACAGATACATAAACAGATAAATTAGGAGACAGGGTGACAAGGGAGATTGGGGGTGGGGGAATGGGAAGATAATCCCAAAACACAAGATTTGAAGTCTAAAGACTTAGAGATAAAACCACAGGACTCTAGGTGATGTTGACCTTGACCTTCTGGATCTTATCCATAAAAGAGATGAGAACAGCTACCATTATTATCGAGGGGACCGTGTAATAGGTCGTGTTCTTACTCGACATGTAGCCTCTCCGAGCTCCTGTGAGGTATGTTGCTCCTATCTTACAAATGGGGAAATTGAAGCACAGAGAGGTTAGGCAACTTGTTCAAGGTCACACAGCCAGTAAGTGGTAGAGACTAGACTCCAACCCAAGCATTCCAGCTGTGGAGCCCACACGCTTAAACCACCATGCTATGCTGCCTCTTGGCAGGGGATGATTGATGATGATAACTATGACACATTTTACACTTTTGTGAGCATCAAACACATGAATATATGTACAAGTGCTTAGCCAACCGAGAGTGCTTCACAGACACGAGTTCTGACTTACAAAGTGCTGTAGGAGCACAAAGGAGGGAGCACACGGCTCAGCCTCAGGGGAGGGATACAAAGAGAGGAGGCTATTGGGAGCAGCATCATTGAGCACCCCCTTGTCTGCAGGCCCTATGAAGAAATGTAATAAAGGAGACCCAGAGCCGGGATTCTGGGACCTGCCAGGCTCTTGAGTGACATAGACACAGATCAATACAGTCCAGATGTCTTTGTGCACTGGTCAGAAGGGGCAGGACAGGGACAGCAGAGGCAGCCGGAACCACAGGGCACCCGGCCTGAATGCCATGCTGAGGAGAACCCCTTTCCTGTACCCTCTCCTTGCAGATACATGCCAACGTGGGGGTCTTTCCACAGGAGCGATTCTCTAAAGAACACCTCCTCCTCCTCCTCCTGTGACTTGACTTAGCACCTCCTCCAGCTAAGCCCCCTGGGCTTGGTACTTGCTCTGGGTTCCCACAGCATGTGCCCCATGGTATTGTCATTGCCCATTTATCAGTCTAGCACTAGAATGAGATCCGGGTGAGCAAGGGCCTCATTTCAGCTCCCACGATACAGCAGTTGCTCAATGAATGTCTGCTAAAGAAATGAATAAATGAGTAAATATCTTGCCTATTTCTTCCCCTGAGTCCTGGCCTTTTGGAGCAAAGATGCCATGCCCTGCCTGAGGGGTGAAGGGTCAGGGAGGAGGCTCGTAATGTGAGCCTCTAAACCCTAATGCACAGGGGCACCTCACAGACCTGGAAAGACCCCGGCCCATCTTTGGCATTGGGGCCCTGAGGAATCAGGCTTTCCAATAGGTCTGGGAGCTGGTTATGTGGGCTGGGGGCCACACCCCATAACCCTTACCCCCCCCAACCCCCTTGATAGCTGTGAGCCCAGCAGAAAACCAAGTGGCCATGGCCCTCAGCTAATTGCCGAGGCCAGGGCTTTTTAGACTGTGTGTCTAGAGCTGTCTAAGCTCTCCTCCATCAAAAACGTCTCATACCCTGGAAGTGGGGGCTCAGGGCCAAGGAAGGAGCTGGCTTCTATCCCTGGGGCACACTTGGAACCTCAAGTCCAGAGTGGGTCTCCCCGCTCTCCTGAGAGCCCTAGCAGTGCCAGGCAAGTGTGCTTTTCCCAGCTTGATGGCCGGGGGATGTCCGGCTCCAAATTGGCGACAGTCTAAGGCCAAGCCACAAATGGCCTGAGGCCCTAGCCCTAGGCGGTATGATGGCAAAGGACATATCTACCCCCTCACCATGTAGCTGCAGTCAGCGGGCCCAGAGCCCCTCGCTGCCCTGCCCCCGCCCCCCGGGGCTGCAAGGCCTGGGCCTGCTTCACCCTCACCCAGGAAGGGAGCTATTGCAGCGTTGGTGCTCCTTTTGTGGGTGAGGAACCAGAGGCTTGCAGGCTACCGGGAACGACGCTTCCCAGCAAAGACTGCCCGGGTTCAAAGCCTGCTCTGCCATTTACTAGCCCGTGACCTTGAACTTCACCTTTCTGAGCCTCAGTTTTCTCATCTATAAAATGTGGATAACAATAGTGATCACCTCACGAGGTTAACACATCCTCAGTGTTGAAAGCGTGGTGGGAGGACTCCACACGTGTTGGTTGCTGGGCTGATCGTTGTTACCACTCCAGCCATAGGCATATGCGCACGCGCACAGCCCCACCTGTGAGCTCAGGAGACAGGGCTAGGGGAGGAGCCCAAGGCTGG